GTTTTTGAACTTCGTTTGCAATTCTTTAAAACCGTTAAGATTCAACACACGGTTAAAAAAAAAAAAAACGATTTAAGATATAACATTCATAAAATCTCATATAATTCACTTAATGCACATATACTGAACTGAATCCCAACTGAATGTTGAATCTAATTTTCAGCTATAAGGCCTTTGTTTTATTTTACATAATTTTAGATTTCTTTGATTAAAATATTTAATTTGCATTTATGTTGCTCAATGAAATATTTATCTACTATGTATTTATTTACTTTCATTCAAGAACAGTAGAGTTAATTTATTTTAAAATGAACTTTTTTGTTACATGTGAATAACAAAAACCCTTCATTCTCCCCCCCCCCCTTAATCTTCTGTCAAGATCTTCAGTTCAGTCCTTCAGTCAAGAAAGGGTTGTGCACCCTATATGAATTATAATAAAAATATTTTTCTCTTTTATAAAATATTTTTTTAGTTCATTTTACAAACAATAATAACCCTTAACTAAACTTTGAACACAATTATTGTAAGATATTTTCTCATAATAAGATGAACTTCATTTAAATGTGTTCCAATTTAGTACTTTTCTTTACAATGTTCCAATTTAGTACTTTTCTTTCCATCACAAAAAATAAATTTCTTATTAATAAAAATAAAATAAAATGAATGATTATAAGCACCCAAATATATCTTCATAGTGTTTTGGTTTCATATTATAATTTTAAAAATTTAAGCCATTTATAAATCCTACAAGGGGGCATACACAAGTCTATGCACACCACTGCGTACAATAATTATCCAGAAACGAAAATGTAATGATATAAAGTAAACGTACTTTTTTGGGGGGATGATCCTCCACAATCCTCCTCATTTTTAATAAATCCTATTTTAATAGAGCAAAATGAGATATATATATTCAGATTAATGAATGAAGCTCATGCTCATAAGCGTTAGAAACAAGCATTTTAAATATTGGAATGTCTTGACAAAATTGCAATACATCAAATGTCTAAATTAAAAGGAAAACAGTAATAACTGATTATCAAAATGCTCGTTAAAACACATGATTTTCCTAGTTCATGTAATTAAATTTTGAAATCGAAGTATTCAGCAAGTTAACTTGATGAAAAACAAGCAACAAAAAGTTTGTTAAAACCTTTATTTTTAATAGTAAATTGAGAACATAGTTGTTTATTAGTATTCATAAATGGATGTACATATTTTTTAGGCTTATCTTAGTACTAAATTTAATGATTCATTTTCATTTGTTCATTATGCTTAAAACTAAAACATTTTTAGGAACATCTTGCATTGATAATTTTAATACATTAATCATTTTTCTTATATGCATAATTTCAGAGTGGCTGTTCAGTTCATTATGCTTTAAACTAAATATCAAAACATTTTTGTAACAAACTTCGTATGCAAATAATTTAGAAAAAGATTTATAGCAAATAATTCTTTTAAGTTTATTATAAACAAAAATATGATTGAAATTTGTTTATTTACATAACCGCCAAAACAAATAGAGTCAGATAACTTGAAAGTATGTGGATAAAAATCAGTATTTTCATCGCCTTCTTTCTTATCTAGTTTAAAATAATAAATTTAATAACTTTGTTGCGCTTGTATTAAAAATTTTGTTTGTTTGCTAGACTAGTGTTTTCAGAATATTAACCGTTGACGTTAAAAAAAAACAGTGTAAGGAATATTGAAAAAATGTATACAGGGTAAAGCTATGAAAGTGCATTTTTCATCACATTTACCAAAAGGCATGATTATTATTTATAATTAATGGATGAACTAGAATAACAAACGAGCAGAGATATGTGTGGGGTATTGCTTGGTATTCTGTGCATTATTATTATTTTTAAGGAAAAGGGCCATTGCCCAGTACTCTTAATTTTCCTTATGTATCCTACGTGTGGAATTTGTAGCCACCTTCATGAGGCCTGCTTCTAGGAAAATGGAGGCACATGTTTCCTACATTTCTCCATCTGTAAAAGAGAAAGAAAAAAATCCTCTCTCCTAGAAGGCGTAAACTTAAAATTGAAGGGTTAATATGGTACTGGTTTCCCATAATTTTTTAAAATTTTATTTTGAGCTGAGGAAAAGGCTAAAAAAGTCTTGTTGATCACTTTAAATAAATTTTATTAAAATAGTATAATAAGTAAGCAAATAAGGTTACTTTCATAAATTAAAATTTGTGGCAGCAATGTTAATCTTAAAATGAATACTATTTGAGTTAGAAATATAGGACATAATTTTAAAATGCATTTTTCACATTTTGTTGTCTATTTTTAGCAATTAGAGTAAAAATAAAAGGAAGAAAAATGTCAAAACATATAGAAACACAAATTAGGACTACAAATAAATAAAATCGAAGTTATATAAGAATAAGAATTTATTTACTATTTTTATTAATTGTAAATATCTGGCGAACGCATCACAAATGTAAAAAACATAATTATGCTCTATTCAATAAAAAACAAGAACCACCAAGTCAAACACTCTTATCTAATTACATTAACCTTTAACTACAATAATTTTATTATTTCAATTTAAAAAATCAGACAATATTTTTTTGGAATATAGTTTTAATAATTACAGAATTTCTTCTTATAAAAGTGAAGGTTTTGTATAAATTTTTCCAAAAAAATTTATTAAAAAAATCAATACTACATTACAAAAGATATTCCAATTCGTAAGAGTATTACATGAGTAGTTTTTAGTGTTCAGGTAATCAAACTTAGCAATAAAATATTTTATGTGAAACACAAATTTTACAGAAACCATTTGACAACACAATATTGCACAAATTAATACTTTTTACAGTTTTAAGTTCAAAAAATACACAAATTTTAACAGAACTTGCATGAATTTATTTGCAAATAGAAAATCAAAGTAGCAAAAATTTTATTCTTAACATCAAATTTAGATATAAATCTATACATTTTGCAATAGTTATGGTTTAGCAAATGTATTTCTTCTAGCAATTCCTATAGTTTCTTCGCACAAATATGTAGAATTTAGAAGTAAGGTTCAAAGCACTCCATAACAGATATTTTAGACAAAAAAAAATCATACAAATTAAACTGTATTACTTGATTAAAAAGCAGCAGAATGTATAAAACTTAAATTGAAGTTAATGTTTCAATTAAATTTTTTTTTACAGAGAATATAGTCTGCATCGGTCTTAATAATGCCTAAAATAATAAATAATTTACATTCCATTTAAATTTATATATTCCCCAATGACAAAATCTATTTCTTAGCTAATGTTTGAAATATGTTTGCTGTAGAGAAAATTGCAAAATTTTCTCAACCTATACAATCAGATTTATAAAAGTAATAAGAAGTAAATAAATTTTATAGAACAGGAAAATAAAAATAAAATAGTGAAACTAGTTCTTTTTTCATTCTCAATAGAGATGGACTAATTATTTTCATTCATTGTAGGTGTAATTCATTGAATTTTTCTAAACACTTTTTCCTAACTACTCATTTTACATTGAGGAAAAGTAACAAAGCTCAGTTTTATACAAGACTTAATTCACAAGACTCAATTTTATTTTTTCACAAGACAATGTTAATTGAAATAATCATAAGCTTAAAAATTTAAATTCCATATAATTCACAATGTCAAAATCTGGACTATACATTAGATAAACCATAATATTTATAATAAATTCTCAAAGAAACAGATAACAATATCAAAAATGAAAAGTAAAATAAGAAATACAAAAAATTGAGGTACATTAACATTGAGCCAATATAATTGTAATTTTAAATTTTTATTAACTATGTAAATTTTGTATAATTTTAATTTTTGTATTGCTTTCTGAGATTTAACAACAAAAAGTGAACTGCATAAAAATTGTTTAAATTGTCAAATGAAAGTTAAAAAACTTAAAATATTTTAATAAAACTAATAATTATATAAGATTTGCTAACTCGTTTTCTTATTTGCTAATACTAAAATGATTCTAACAGTCACCACTAGATAATTTGTTTAAAATTTAATCCAAGATATTTTTTGTTTCTTTACTTTTTTTAGAAATATAAATACAAATAAAATATATGATTAATGTGAATGAACCGGTTAAAAAATAACATAGCTTATATGAAAAAATGCAATCAAGAAAAGTTCTTAAAACAAGTAATTTTATTAAGAAAATCATATTGATAAAAAAGATGAAAATTAATTTTAATGTATTTTTCTTAGATTAAGATAATACTTCAAAAAATGATCCATAATTTCAAACTTAAGAGTGAAGCATGAATAATAAACTTCTGTGTGGTTTAACCAATGGAGCATAACTGAGGTTTGAAGATGCCATTTCACTTCATGTTGGCATATCAGTACATTCAATAAGAAAGTTATATTGTGAGGAAAAATTTCTATAAAAACTTGCCAAAATGTGAAAGGCTTGGTCGTTTAAGCCCAAATAGCAAATAAATTATTGATTCTACAAAAACTGCACAACACCTTTTAAATAACACATATGATACTGTTGAGATGACTAGAAAAATTTATGAAATAGTTCATGTGATAATTTCAAACACCACTTGAATACACAATAAAGAAAAAGCAAATTTATTCTTTGATTAAGTAAAATTTCATAAACACATTGTTTTATTAAAATTTAGCCAAGCACATATTACATAACAATATTACATTTAAAATGTAATAGCGTTATTAAGGCATGCAATATTACAATGTTTTATTAACGCATGTAATATTACATTTACAATGTAATATTGTACGGTATAAAATTTGATATTTACTTGGCAGATCATTTTCATTATAAAATAAAAATGATTCAACTAGATTTCATTACAATTACATTTAACTTGATTTCATTCACTCCCAATATTCCAAAAATAAACAGATTATTTAAAGAATTTAATTTTTTTTTTCACTTTGAAATAGCAAAAGAAACAAACTTCATAAAGTAATTCATGACTATGAAGTGTGCGATTTTGTAATTTTGAGTAATATGTTTTTGATTAAAAAAGATCTTTAAAGAAATACACTTTTTATATGTCTTCTATGTGAGTAACATCAATCTGACTGACAGAAAATTTTGTATTATAAAACCAGGATTATTGTAAATTATTAAACAATTATTAATGTATGCAATTTTTTTTGGTATGTCAAAAAACAAGACTTAATTCAAAAAACATGCAATTATAATGAGAGCAGCAACAATATGAAGTAGTGAAAAATGTTTGTAACAATGTGAAAGGGAAAAAAATTGTCAATTATAGCATACAACAAATATGAAATGTAGTTCAACAATATAAACTGATCACAGATTATTTGTTTTTTCTGCTCTTTACATAAAATACCAAACCAAATTGAAATAATAACATGAACTTATGATAATAATAAACATCATGCATCACAATGATAAAATAAACACAATGCATTCTTTGAATGATAGAATGCTATCAATAATAGGAACAGAGTCAATGATCCATTATAAATATGATAAATAAATTGTTCAAAAAACAAAAAAAAATCAAGCTCTAGTAATATAAAATTTTAATCAATATAACTGCAACCAAGCCATTGTATCTGACTTGAGGACAGTTTTTATTGATCAACAGCGATAAACTCTCTCTGAGAAGTCTTTATAATAAATAAAATAGTATGCAACAAAAAGTCTTTCATTTTTTGGTTGAAAATTTAATAAAAGTCTCATCACAATTTAAACGTTTGTATTATCCGGTCGAGGTGGCAGAGGCCTCGATTTAAAAGGAGGTCTCAAAGCTATGTCAGTTGAATAATCAAGTTTAGATGCATCCTGTTTCTCAAATCTCTGAGCCAAAGATGCAACAACTGAATTTTCATTTGTCCTAGGAACGCGAGGTAAGACCTTGGAAGTATTTTCTCCTTGCCGAAGCATTGAAGGTCTGTTACTTTTTGCTTTCTCTTTGCTAACTGAACCTACTCTACCAGCTGCAACGTTATTACTCTGGCTGTGAAAAGCTGTATCACAATCTTTGCTGTCACCCACCTTTGCTGGTTTATGAACAAATGCAAGAGGAGTATCACTAAAGTCAAGGGTTTGACAGTCGTCATAAAAAGATGAATTAGGCGTTTCTGAACGTTCAGTGTCACAAGGCCTCGAAATGTCTTCGTAGGTGCGTACCGATGGATCTTGTTGATGAGGAGGTGGACTTTTTGGGGGAGGTGGTCGCGGGGGTGGGCAACTAGGTCTAAAAGTAGACGCACTAAGAGGTCGGTTTCCAGCACTGTTTTCGGTCGGACTCCTCAGACTTGCAGTTCTTGCTATTGCGTGTGGCGCAACGGCGGTTGCCGGTGTCCAAGATGGAACTCTTTTTGGAGCATTTTCAGGTCTTGGAGGAGCTGGTCTAACTGGAATAAATTTGTTACTAGGAATATTATTTGTTGAGCTTTGAGGGATAGGAGGTGATATGTGGACTTGGCAAAGGTTATTAACATTTTTGTTTGGTAAAGTTGAAGGCATTGATGGATGATTGCTGAAGGGTACAGCAGGAGGGGGAATTTGAATTGGAGAAGAAATTTCCAAGGTGCGCAAGCTGTTCCGATCAAAATTAAACTTTGTAGATGGCTGTGCTTTTCTTTGAGCATTGGTTTTTGTTCTGGATCTAAAAATATAAGAAAGACATTACCCAAACTACTCGAAATTATGAAAACTGAAAAAACTGAACGTATTTATTTAAATTACCATAATATGAAATGATAAAAAATTACAAACTAAAAACTATTTATTAAAAAAAGCAATTATATTTTATAAAAGACATAAGAAATGTCTCTATTAAACTTTTACTCTGAAAGATAAATATTCATTTCTTTTACCACATTTTATTTAATCATTTCTATTCATGTTAAGAAAGTTAATGGGAGATTTGTCAAAGCAATTTTAAAAGAAAAAATAAGATCATTAAAATCATTTAAATTTTTTTTTTTAATTTTACGATTTTTAAAGAATTTCAGCTTTATTTTATCATAAGAGTTTTTCAAGTGTAATATCTTTAAAGAAAAATATTCAATATAATTTTAATAAAATCAGTAACTTAAATAAAAATAAAATGAACTAATCTTAAAGATTGTGAAAAAATGTTCTTACTTTTATTAATAACAACAACATATAATATTAATAATATGCAAGAAATGATTGCTTAAATTTCAGTCTTACTTTATATTTGCTTTGTGTGCTTTCTTGGACCACCAAGTTTTAAGGTGACTGCGATAATAATAGATTGCAAGAGCAGTGAGGACTGCAAGAGGCAACAGACCCAAAAATACTATATACATGGCCATAACAACAAAGTTTTCTGAAATATAAGAAAAGTCATCTGAAAATAGCATTATAAAAAATATAACTACTTAACACACACATATGTATGTATATAAATATATATCTTTTTGTGCTAAAATATTAAAATCTAAAATGTATATCTTAATTAATAGAAGAACTAAAAAATAATATAAAATAATAATAATTAATTTCATACAGGAGTCAAGTTTGATACAACAATACCATAATTATTTACTCTTAAGTTAAAAAAAATTCTAGACCTATTTTAGTAAAGCAATGCTTTACATTTTAAATAATAAGAACTAGACAAACAGAATAATTAATATAAATGCAACTTTTTTCATGTTAATATATCACACCTTGGTGAGAAAAGTGTCATAACTCTAAAATGCAGCACTTGAGAAAAATCAACTTGATTACTATAAAGCTTATTCTGAATTAGACACAAAACTGACACAACTGCCCTCAGCAGGATAAATTGCGAGTTAGTGATGTGGCACTTTTTTAGGACATTTCATATTTTTTATTGACATAACCTCAAAATAGCTGTTTTTTTACTTTTCTTGGTGGGGTGAGATATATGTAAAAATATCCACTAAATTTAAACTTGTAATAATATTGTTTGAGGGCAGAAATTTTCATCTACAAAGATAACATGATTTAAGAAGAAAATAAACCACCCAAATGATTTACTAACTTTTCACAAAAGGAATGATTAAAATTTTCAAACAAGAAAAATATGACTGACAAACTTATTGCATCCTATGAATATAAATTTACAAATTGCGAATACATCTTTCCAACCTAATGAATGGATTCGGGACATCCTGCAGAGTTTGACATAAAGGTGAAACATACATTTTTGATTATTAATGTAAAGTAATCTGACTTTAAAAACTTTTTAAAGATCAGAACCATGGAAGAGTAATAATCTAGAGCAGTGTTTCTTAACCTTTTTGATATAATGGACCCCTTTTAAAATTTTTTTAAGAAGCTGTACACCCCCTGTGAAAAAAAATAATTGCAAGAAGCATCAATTATTAGAAAACATTTAATTTTAGTATTTTAATAGTATACAAAATTTTTAAAATTAAAATTTTTAATGTGAAGGTTACTGCTACTTTTCCTTAATTAATAAATTTAATTGGGGGATGGTTTTCGACAAAGCAACGTGTATATCATGTTCAACATTCAATCAATTTCGATGTTATATTGTTATTGTCACAAGTGAGGAAAATTCCACTTCGCAAAGATACACTGTAGCAAATGGAATTATAGCTGCCATAGTTCGATTTACAAGCGCAATGGGTAGGCTTCCAAACGTTTTAAAAATTAGGAGTAGTCAGCGGACCCCCAAAATATAACTCATGGACCCCTTAGGGGTTCATGAACCACAGGTTAAGAAACCCTGATCTAGAGGGTCATATTACTCTTCTTAATTCAAAAGAAATACAAGATGTTTCACAATCAATATGGGGCAAAATCAAAGGAAATAATAGTTTAAAGAATTTATTTAAAATATTTGCTGGAGCAAATGACTAAATTTTGGTCGCCATGTTGGGATGAATGGTTCACAAACATTTATCTAGTGCATATTAAAATTTTATCCGTAAATGGGAAACCAAATGTGACTTTATGTATTCACTGTTATAATGAATGGGTTGCTGTAAAGGAATTGTACTAAGGATCATTGATTGTATGCGCATAAAGTTTTAATGACTTAAATTTGCTTAAAATTCAGATTTTGCCCTTAAAATAAAATTGGGCGTTGCCATTTTATTTTAAGAATTTGTACCTTTTATTTCTATTTAAATTAAACATGTGTTCATGATTATTTTCAGTGAAATTATATTTATATTCAAGTATAGTAATAAACTATTTAATAATTATACATACTTTAGTTTTTGATTAGATATGTTGGAAATTAAGTTAAAACATTTTTTTAAGTTGCTTTTAAACGTTATTTAAATGATACAAAAAAGTAAGATTTTTTAAAATTTAATACATAAGTCAGAGCAAATGCTTTGCAACTTTTATCAAAATAGTTAGTGTAAAATTTCCTCTAAAACTGTAAATGCAAAGGATAAGTGAATGCAAAGGATAGCAAATATTAGTATCTCATGTAACAATAAGTACTTGCATTAATTGTTTAATAATTTTTCAAGTTTAACAGAAAATCATTAAAATATGATATGACAAATTTAATTCATCATGAAAATGCGATTAAATATTATAAGAAACTTATTATGAATGAAGCTGTATCAAACTTCAGACAACTCCATTGTAACAACATCAAATAGTTGAATCAGTTTTAGAAACGAACTCATGAGGTCTCATTTGGAGGAATAAATGCATAGATTCTGGTTACTTTTGAACTAGGTTTACAAAGTTACTTCGAATAAGGTCTGGAAAATAACCACAACTCAAAATTTAATACTTTAAGCTGGCTCAGGTAGAAATTATTACTCGACTTATTTTGCAGTTTATAAGAAAGTGTCTAATTATGGCAATAAAGATTGATTAAGAAAACAAGGTATCTAGTTAAGAAAGCTTCATTTGTTTTTACCAAGCTTTATATCTTGAAACTCAATTGATACTAAATGTTCATATTAATTTCATGGAACAATTATTAAGTTCAATGCAGTTTTAAGCATTAAGTTGATAATGTTGATACTATCTATAAGGTTCAAATTTGAATTTAATTTGATAACAAACTTGAAAATCATTTAAATGTGCTATTGAGTAATGTTTCTCCCTATAATTTTTAGAATTTTACTTATCACCTTTTTTTTTTTATCTGGGACAAATAATTCTTGCATTCCATTTATCCGGTAAAGTTTCTATTCCCAGATACTTTTTAAACAATCCACATATTAACTTGATTATAGAGCTACCCCTATAGTTTATTAGTTCAGCTACAATATAATCCTTTCTTAAAGCTTTATTTTTCTTCTTTTTTAAATACAGTATTTAAATTCTTCCTATGTTAGACGTAACTACAGTTTCCTGGTTTCCCTTATCTGTCGAAAAAAATATAATTAGCATTTAACAAAACAATTTTTGTTAATAAGTCCAACTTACTGCTGGGGTCTGATGCTGGACCACTATCAATACTTCCTCCAGCACCAGGAGAATCACAGTATGGCGGTGCAAAACCATTATCACAGTGGCAGTGCCCACGATTGTTACAAACCTGGAGGAATTTTTACAATAAAGGCTTTGCAAAATTATTTACAACAAATATGTCATTTTAGAATAAATATTTACAGCAAATCAAATAAATTTTAATCATCATAATTTTCACTTAAATTTTAACAAAATGAAAGACATTTTTATGCATTATTTATAACGTAAAGTAAATAGTTTTTATAACTAAACTATCAAAATTAAGAAAAAGCCATCCCACACTTGATAATAACAAAGTTAGATACAGTATTTCCAAGCTAAGAGATAAAATATAAAAGGTTCTAGTTTACTTTAACCCATGATCTTAATTTTGCTCTATTTTTTTATTATTTTTTTGGTTTTATTTCGGAGTTTAGAACCCACATCAAATTATCTTTTTTCACCATGCTTTATTTAATTTATGTTAAAAAGTTAATTTTAGATTCCCATTTTTTATTATCACAGAAATAAAACCAAACTCTCAACACCCATTGCTGTACTATTCCCCAAAGCTTCATTTGCTATGAGCTGAAAATCATGAATAAAGATGTTAATTTGAAGCATGAAGCTCAAGGTTCATTATATTCCACAGAAATAAAACAAGAGTATCTTTGATGTAGAACTCGCTTACTGCTTCCAAGATGAAATATGTTAAATAGGGAAAATATGATAATACAATATGTTGACCAACTAGTCTTTGTGAAGAGATACCCCAAATTAGAGTAACATCATGCACATATTAAAATTGATCAAAAATTTTATACAAGGAGGTATTTCACTCAATATTTTTTAAAAAAAACACAACAACAAGTTTTGTATCTGGGCTAATTATGTATAAAAATAAGTTATAAAACCCATTACATCATAACAAAATTTACAATGTAACAATTTTATTTTAAGAAAAACTTATAATATGTAATTGAAGTAAAAAAAAACTTACCCCATTTCCACTACATCCATATGGACAAACAGTTTTCTGAATTGTATTGACTGGCACACATTTTTGATTGACACAAGACTTAAAAAAGAAAATTTTATTACCTTCTCTATTTTTAAAATTAAAATCAAATTAAATGTCTAAACAGATTTAAATGATTAAAAGTAACAAGAGCTCTAAATGGGGCTTCGTAATAAAATATTTTTCTTACGAAAAATCTATATGAGTGAAGAGATTAATGTAAGAATGTGTTTAGTGACATTTGAAAATACTAATTTTTCTTACCATTTAAGAACATGTGAAGGTCAACGGTAACATTTTTAATTAATAGTAGTAAAATATATTTTTAAGCATCACATCAAATTTAACTATCTGTAACTTAAGAGGATAAAGCAGTTATTCTAAAAACAACGGGGAATAGTATTGGTCTTTGTATCAATTAAAATATTTGCAACACTTAGCTATATATATCCAATAAAGAATTTCTTCACTAAGGAGGACTATAAAGTAGTTGATATCTGTAACAGAAGCTAATATCTACTATGTTAGAGATTATAAGTTTTTCTAGCATGCACTAAGCTTCTTTTTACATTTTTAAATTTTCCTATAAAATTTGATTCGAACATAAAACACAATATTGCTTACATTTATAAACAGAATGAAAGTTGATATGCCTTAATATTTGATTCTCTATAAATTACCTTTATATGTTGACCACATGTATAAATTTATCACAGCACCAAAATGGCAACAACAACTAAGTTTTTCTTTTTATGTTGACCATTTGTTTAATTAGAGCCTCTATTTGTTCATTTACAAGTGATCAACTTACACAGGTTTCACTGTACCAATTTTTAAAGGAAAATAAATTCTATCTATTAGTAAAAACTAAAGCAATTTCACAACAGCCCGTTGAGGATCAAAGGATCATAGAGGTTAAGGTTCCATAATTTCATGACAAACAACATCAAAGTCACAATGTGGTCACATTGTGCACTAGCCATCTTTACTTCCTAGACAAGCTGGTACACATTGATCTGAAGTTGTGTGTACTTTACAGACCTTTACAATGACAGCTCAGTGCCTTTAACCACTGAGCCAAAGTGGCTCCTCTTTATTAGACCTAACAGAATTAATAAATGCTTGTTGTACATTGGGCCAATCTAAGACAGATGCCTTCACTGTGAGTTTCCTGCCTCTGAAACTTTGACAAGAGTTTTGTAAGTGATAACTTTTGCTTAATAAAAGCTCAAACAAAGCATAGAGTAGGAAAAAAGTTTAGATATTACAATGAAATAATATTAAGATATTACAATGATACTTTTAAGATATTACAATGAAATAATATTAGGTATTACTTTTAATATTAAATTTACTTATGTTAGCTAATGCAGGCTGCATGAAAACTCAATTAAAAATTAGTTTTAATAGCATGAATTTCAATCCACTAACAAATCTTAATATCTTAGGCATCCAGTGGTCAATGGGACTATATCTTCTAGTAACATCTTACTTTAAAATAATGGTATGACAGTATTTGTTCACAAAAATAAATGTATAATATATTTCTCATAAAAATTCCAAGATAATTAAATTTTTACATTCTGCATAAAAAAAAAATTAAAAAATTCGTCCAAGGCACAACACTCCCTCGTATTGTCTTTAAAACAAATACCCGCAACTCCCTAAAATTTATAAAATAAACAAAGTTTGATACGTTATGCATAAATAAAATATATTTTAAAATTTTAGACTCAAATACATACAACTTTTAGACCTGAAATAAATTTCTTAGATAGGGGACTGGTGAAAAGATCAAATTTTCCTTTCCAATTTAAACGACAAATTCCAATTTAAGTTTTATAAATAAATGTATATTTTACATCAAGGTAATTCCATATATATATTTTTTTAATTTTAATATTTAAACAGAATTTTTAAATTTTTAGACAATTTTAAGAACGTTTTTTTAGCACTGAAAGAATTATTTTTAAAATTTCAAGAACTTTTTTTCAATATTTCAGTTCTTAATATCAACAAAACAGTAGGGTACAATTTTAATTAAATTTACTAGTAAACTGCAATTTTATTACTGTTTTACAATAGTTCTTATTTTCAAAAGCGCATAAATTATTCAGATAATGAGTAGCATAGAATAAAAATACCTTTCCATCGCCACATTTGGCACCATTAGGAGCCAAACCAGGATCAGTGTTAAATAATCCCAAGTCAACAATTGCAGATCTGCAAGTAAATACCTTTCCCTTTACATTTATAAAAGAACGTGCCAAAATTGCAGCAGATTCTAATCCGAACTCCAATTTTTCATTGAGGTGTGAACAGTGGAGCATACCACACAAAATATCCCTGAAATAAATAAAAATTATGTAAATTTTTTATAGCATATTATGCAATTCTTTATAAGTTGACTATAGCCTTATAAACAGATTTAAAATTGTAAATGCAATTTTTAGGTTTTTTTATATTTAAAGCAGACCTAAATGATTTATTTCACACTGGAATTTTGTTTACAAATAATTTGCTATTGGTTGCCGTAATATACATTTCTAGAATTGTGTGAATATTGAAATTCACTTTACAAAGATGGGATAGAATAGAATTAGAAGAAGATAAAGAAAGAGCTATCACATAACCCTCATACTTATATATAAATTGTTTACTGCATAAATAATTTTATTACTTTTCTTCAAAAGTTCTAAAAGTAACTTGCAACAAAGCCTACATGTCCTTGTTTTTAAAAAAAATAACTAAATTTTTTAAATAAATTTGCCGACTTCGTTAAAATATTAGTATTTTTTTATTATTCTGAAATCCTTTTATTTCTTTAATTATAATCTGCAAATCACAAACATGCATATACCGTATATCTTGGAATATAAGTTGAGCCATTGCATAAGTCGACCCTCTATTGTTGATTATGAGATTTCTGGTATGTTGGTATGAAAGACTGCCTAGCAGATAAAATGCAAAATTGCATATAACATATTAAAAACAAATTTTAAAAGGGGTAAATTGATACAGAGTCATTCATATTAATCTCATTGCCTATAACGCATAGATATTTCACGATCTACGAACATCCACTCTATTATCGGCGCATAAGTAAACTCGCTGATTTTCGTAAACTATTGGGACTTTGATAAGTAGACTTATACACCGGGATATACGGTACTTTGTTACGTATTGATAAGAATTGAATTAACTTAAACAAAAGTTATTACTCTTTTCGACATGCTTTATAAGTCTGGTTCACTCGGTTGTAACCACAGTTGCCGTTAACATTGCCTTTAAAATTTTGCTCATAACATCTTAAGTCAGACATTTTTCCAGTTTGCCCCCAGAGAAGTTTACATTGATCCTGATGAGACTGACATTTACCATCATAACAGTAGGCCTGAAACAAATATAAACATTAATAAAAGGTAAAAAAAAAACACCTTTTTTTTAAACATTTATTTAGAGCAAATAAATTACTTTTTCATTTCCACATTGACCCCCATTTTGGCGAAAGGTATTGGATGGGCAGAACTCTGAAAGACCATCACAGTATTCTGGAAGATCACATTCTGAAATAGAAGCTCGGCAAGGAGTTGCCACTTTTCTCACCTAGAAATAAAATGTAACCAATTCTGTTAAGCTATCTATTACTATTTCAAAGAAAAAAATAAGGATAACTACAAGGCTTAACAATAAATAAATATAATAGCAGATATAAATTTATGTTTATAAGAGAATCTGATTTGACAGATTAATTTTAAATAAATATGGTCAGGAAGGGTATTACATAATATTTTTTTTAATGACTTACAAATATATTTCTGCATTATAGAAAATACTAAACATAAATAAATAATGATTTATTAAATTATACTTATTACACTAATTACTAATGTATCTAAGTTATATTAATAAATATTTTAATGAAAAGTATCATGGAGATTATAACTCATGCAACAAAAATACATAAATCTATTTCATAGAAATATTATAAGATATAGTTTATATCAAACTTATAAAGTTTTCTTCTAACAATTTATAATCCTAAATATTTTTTATCTCCAATTAAAATTTTCATCAGATTAAAATAGAAAAATAAAATAATGAAAAATATACTTTGCAAAAACATAGAAAAAAGGGCATATTAGTATATTGACATTTAAAAATTGCAAAAAAATTTTAAAGGTCCTATTGACGAAAATATATATACAAAAGTCATGCAATTCAGAAATCAGAGTGAATTGTTATTATTTTTTTTAAAAGAACATTGAGGCACTAATGTTTTATAACATTATTGCGATTTCAACAGTGCCTGCAACTAAAATTAGGTGGTTAAATATAGCACAAAAATCGGGAGCAGTCATACTATACAAAACATAAATTATAAAAAAAAAAATCAAATACGATTACATAGACTAAGCCTGGAGCATATTAAATGAAGTATCTATTGATAGATTGTATTATCAAAGTTTATAAAACACATTAAGTACCAATATTAAACGGAATTAGAAAAATTCATAATTTAGTCAATTTTACCTGACATGTGTCAACATCACAACAGCCTCCCATAGCGCAAGTAGCATTTTCATACAACATGCATGAAGTGGCATTACAACAATGATTGTCACAGAACTGAAATTTATAAAAGGCAAAAATATGTAGTTTCATAATTGCTCATAAACACTGTTATTATTTTACTTATACTGGTGAAAATGAAGATTATCACAAAAGAGAAGGAAATCCCTTCTACTAGTTACTAAAATGTTTGATAAAGTTCCATTGAATTATGAAAGTTCAAATAAATAATACAATAATACCTCTTTCAAGCCACAGTCACATTCTTCACCTTCTTCCAAAAAGCCGTTTCCGCACACTGGACCAATGACTGCAGTTGGAAGGTTTTTAAGACAATAATCCATTCCCTGAGAATATGCTAACTCTAAATACTCAATGGAACAGGATGACCAATGTCGAGGACTGGTAGAGCTAAAAACAAAGAAAATATAAAAATTAGAAAAGGTTTAGAACACATGAAAACTCCATTTCAAAAGATATGTTATTTGTTTTACCTCGAAGAAGGAGCCATGATGCACTTTTCATCAGGACATTGGCATTCTTCGTCAGTATCATGCTCCATTCCAAAATTATGTCCTAGTTCATGTGCCATGGTTGTTGCAACCAACCCAACAACATGACTGTGATCCTTAAATCATGCAAAGTTCTTTTTTTCATGAATTTGTAGAAATCATTTCACAATAATTTGGGATTTCTTTCCAAATAATTTTAAATATTGAAATTTTTTTAAAACAAAAATTTAAGTTTAAATTCTGTTAAATTTTTTTAATTAATTTTTCATTCTAAAAAGATGTACATAGCATGAAAACAATTTAAAATATAACTTAAATTAATCATATAATTTAACTAATCAATTTAACTTTTGTGTCATTTTATATTCAAACATATTTTTTAGTTATTTCAGTAACATTAAAACTAAAATTGATTATAAAGAAGCAAATATTTAAGATCATCTGTATAACTTAAGTCAAAACATGAATTACATAAAATATAAAAACCCGAGTAAAAACAAAAATTAACACACTTTAAAATTCTGTAGATTTTTTGAGAAAAAGGAAAGTCAAAACTGACAAAAAATAAAGTATTTAAAATTAAATTTTTAAAAATATTGAAGAAAAAATATTTCTTCATTAAAATTTAGCACTGAAAAGAACACTGAATATAACCCTATGCATCAATATTTATTGTAGACTTAAATAAAAAAATGTTTTAAATGTGTAAAGAAGAATTTAACAATAATATAAATTAATAAACATTTCTAATATAAATAAATCATTTCTTTGACTAACATTGACAATTTTGAATCATATAACATCAAATTTTCAATATTAAATATTTTTTATTTTCAAATTAGGAAAACATGAAAACACTGAATACCATATTAACGCCTCCTGAATATTCATAAGTGCATATTGGACCTTTAAGAGCTTTACCAACAACACCACCATCGAATGTCAAAGATCTAAAATAGTAATTATGACCATAAGTTAAATTAATAATGAAAGAATAAAGATGGCATAGTTAAAATCATATTAAAATTTTAAGAATATATATGAAAGAAATCAAAATACTGACGTGATGAGTTGAGCATTATCATTTGGATGTTCTTGAGCAAGTCGTTCTCGTCGATAATGTAAAAAATTAGCTAAAGTTGCATCCCCATCAGATGACAACTTGATTTCATCATGATCGGACCATACGATCACACCAACAAGAGCAATGAATATATTTAATGGGGCGTAGAGCTGGAAAAAAATAAAGAAAGAAATGTGATTATTGAATTCAACCATTTAACCAAAGGTGCAGAAATACCAGTTGGAAAAACTATCACTCTGGAAATAGCAATAAAAATACAAGCTATTGAGTAGGTGAAAATCTGATCATTAGATTTGAAGTTATTCAGGGTTCTCCATTTTTTTCTGCACTGTACACTACATTAATGCACAGTTTAGTAGGAAGAACAAATAGTTGGTTGTGGTAATCCAGTCACAACTGTGCATGGAATTTTTTAGCTCTAAAATCTTGGAGAAATGTAAATAAAATGGACTCTAAAACATGAGCACCAAAAATGCACTTTGATTAGACACCCAGCTTTTATTACAGGCAATTTAACCTAGGTCTAAACCTTGGAGATAAAGAATCTGTACCTATTAGACAAGGTGGCTATCAGGTATTGATAAACCTTATTAATAAAAAAATATTTTATGAAATTACACAAAAAATCATAGACAGTACTCTAGAATGTAGAAGAAAAAAAAGCTTGAAATAAAATTGCAATTTTTTAAAAAAAAACTAATATTAAACAAAGTGACATAGAGTCTTGATATTACAAAAAAATAACTTTCTTCACTAATACTGTTCAAGATCTTCAACTTTCCGTTGTATTATATCGCACAAAATACTCAGAAACAATATGGAATTTTGATATTGTGTAGAAAACTATATAGGGTAAAATATGGATTTAAAAAAAAATTTTAATAAATGAAAATAAGTATACGAATTATTAACTGCTAAATTTCGTAGCAAAATTTCCAATGCTAGATTCTTTGTAGTTCAGTAAAATACTGATAGATAGTTGAATATTGTCATATTGAATGTCCCAAATTTAAAAACTTACACAAGCATCAATTATTGGAGTCTTTATGTTTTTAAAATAAATATTAAATGAATTTTAAAAATATTTTCAGACTCTTCTTTCTATTTGGTGAATCTTAAAATACTCATTTCAGCAATTTTGTTCGAAGTTCAAGTGTCCACTTAGCTGGAAACTTTTACTGGCTCTAAAATATTATGAAATGTAATATATATGAACTGCTTAATTAATATATGATATTCCCTGCAATGTTTTTAAAATTATAGGTGTTTGTACAATTCTACATTTTTAACTCCATGCCCTATAATAATTATACATTTCCTACAAGGAAGCATGTTTAAACCTTTGTTGCTTTCAAGAAGTTGAGTTTAGTTATATGTGTCTCACATAAACCGTAATGCAAATAGTTATGTGTGAAAAGAGTTTAAGAAGAGTTAAAGGCTTTAAAAGAAAAAGATGTAAAAAAGTGAAAATGTTTCACTGCAAATTTAAATCAAAGACTTTATTAAAACTTACCCCATTCACAATGTTTGCAATAATTTTGCTTCTTTCAAAAACAGCCTTTTTATCTTGGTTAAATTCTTTATACTAAAAATAAATAATAAGATTTAATTAAACCTTTTTAAGATTAAAAAAAAAACAATCAAAGAGTAATTTTATTGGCAATTAAAGAATATATATATTTTTTACTTTTAATTTTACACATAATTGTGCTATAGCCTCATTCTCTATAATTTCTAATTTCAACTAGGCATTATTTCATTTATGTAAATTCAAACTAAATTAATAAATGAAACATAACTAAATAAAAAGAATAAACAGATTAGAATGAAAAATTTTCCAGATTAATTTCTAAGCTAACCATTTATGACATGAAGAATAATTAAAAATTTTAAGCTTTCTCTTAAATATCTGAATCCAGAAATATATTCCTATGTTGAAAGACTTCAATTCTTGTTGTTTTATTAATCTATAATATGCATTTTCTTATAAAAATATGATTTTGTACATGATAAATGCCTAATAATTTAACAAGAGATTTTATATTGCTTTCTTTACATAGAGATAATTTCTATTGCAAAAAATAATTAAGCAAAAATTAAAAGAATATAACATTTTATCATAAAAATGTAACATTTTATCACAGCAATAATATTTAATGTAACATTTTATCACAGCAATAATATTTAATGCAACATTTTATCACAAAAAAATCATACATAAAACTAGTCTGAAAAAATTCTTTCTTTCCTTGTCTTCTTCTTTCCTTGAAAAAATTATGATAAATATGTAACAAAATAAAGAAATAAAATGGTTTTTGCCCTAATAATGAATTACAAAGGTTCAGAAATAAGATATAGTTTAGCAATTCTTTTAATTACTTACTTCTCTGTTATCATTAACAATTATGAGCTCCACAAAACGGGATTTTTCATTACTTTTGTACGGCGCTTGTAACACAGTTGATCGCTTGGTCTAAAAATAAAATGTTTGCTCAGAAAAATTCTTCTTAAACATTAGAGGTTATACACTTTTTATAGAAAACAATAAAAAATAGTTACCCTTTTTAGTTTATCAAAAACAGGATTTGTGACTAGAGTATCTAAGGAACCTGAGTAACCTAAATTACAAATACAATGTCAAAGCATTTAAAGATTTGTATCAATTTATTTATAATATTTGAATATATAGTTATGATATGATAGTGAATATATAGATGATAGAACTAAACCTTGTGATTATTGTAATAAGTAATATTTTATTATTTAAGTAAAAAAAAAATATTGCATGGAATAAATAGAACCAAGGAATGAAATTTTTCATTACAGGTTTATGGAAAAAAGCAAAGGTGTAGCAGATGGATAGATCCAATGAAGACATGGAATTATTTAAAATAAAAATTAGAAAATCCAACATGTCAAAGAAATTAAAAAAATTGCACTAACTTTTTATAGGGTTTTCATAAAATTATTATTACTTTATTTAATCAGTCTTAATTAAGTAATTTTTAAGAAACTGATAATGCATGCATTTCTCAAAATTAAAATCCTGCTAGAGCACTTTGAAAAGAGACTTTTATGGCATTTAATATTTGGGGAAGAAGAAATAAGTCGAAATGTTAGTGTAAGAAAATGTTAATCTAAGAAAATGTTAATGAAGTAAGATCTCTTAAAACTTACCACAAGTTAAATTTTGAGGCACTGAATCAGAAGCTCGAAAGACCAGATGTCTTTCATCGTCATATCTATGATCTGGCTGAATGTAATGCAAATCATTACCATCATAAATAACCCCACTGAAGAAAGAAAAAAAAATACTATTAGGGAAATGTTTTTACAAACTAGTTAAAATGGATAAAAAATAAACTATTTAAAATTAGAATCAAAGGAAGAAAAAAAAAGAAATTATTTTAAAAAAATATCAAAACAAAAATTCACTTGTAGTAGTTAAGAGGTAGTTAGATTTTTTTTTTAAAGTTTAAATAACAATAACGTGTGATGAACCCAATTGCTTTCTAAGTTAATTTAGTTATTCCTTTTGTGTGTCCCTACACAACTTTCTGCATCTGTATCTATAATACTTCTACAAGCTTTTAATTTACTTTGACCTTACATGCAAGTTATAAGGTGTTTCAATGCTAAATAATAGTCACAAATGCATGCCAACAAAGTATCAGAGAAAATAGTTTGTTTTGCCCTTTGCCACTTTTATAAGACGTTTTTGCTTATAAGACACAAAGATGCTTTTGTCTTGATACACTAACTATTTTTCTACTTAACTCATCATGTAGAACATAATGTAAAAAAAAAAATAGAATAAATACAACATATGCTTTGATGCAATAGAAGTTATGAATTCTTAAAATAAAGTGTTTTTAATAGTACTTATAAAACTATTTTATGTATTAACTTACCTGATACCATTACATGTACTGATTGCTGCCCATGAGTTGTTAATCCCTTTCAAGTGACCCTGATAATGGCAGTGACTTTGATCCTTTAAACGTAAAAAATCACTTGCTTAAGAGAGACACATACACAATAAAAAGAGTTCTAAAAGAGTTTAATAATAAATATGACAGTGTTGGGAAAAACTTGAAAAATCAAGCATGGTTTCTATGATATTTAAATTAAAAATTTCAAAGATTATAAAATCTGTACAAAAAAATGTACTTACATATTTCATAGGCAAATGAGTGATGTAGCTATCATTTTCTTGATGTTTTTCAAAATAATGAGTAGGAAGAAGATTTTTATTCATTCTTAAGTCTAATAGAAAATTCCTATCAAATGCTACAAATCCTATAGTTAATTTTTCTTCATTATTAACCTATCAAATAGAATAAAATATATATAAGTCATAAGAAAAAGTACATTTCATAGTTTGTTTTTTTTCTTAAATATTTTTATGGCAGAAACTTAAGATATGCAATACACGCATCATAGACCTTATTAATATAATATACAGTTGACTTCCTTGAATTTAAACAAAGACAATTTAAAATAAAACTCAGTGATATTTCCCTTACAATTCAATAATAAATTTACTTTCAATCCCCCAGTTTTATTTCACTTGAAGTTTGATTGAAAAGAAATAAGAAAATTTTACTTCTTTTTAAACTTAATAAGAGTTTTTGCAGCCAATTAATTAGTTCATAACTGTAGATTTTTCAAAGCAAAATGAAACGTGAAACCCAACTTTAACAAATATAATCATAACTCGATACATCACAGCGGTTCCAAATAGAGTGCGTGTGAATAAATGGAACACATAAACGCTACACTTTTCCCAAAGAAGTTGTTTGGAAAATAAAGATGGCCGGTGTGCACTGTTTAACGCATTGTCCCCACCATGCTGTTTGGTCTTGAATTCCATGACCAACGATTTCAACTGAAAAAATTATTATTGAAGAAATGCTTTACTTTTATTTTTCATTCTTTCCAGATAAGTACTATACAATTTCTTAGAATTTCCACTTGATAACAGCAAAATGCAAAGAAATATCTTATTACCAACATGAAAATTGAGAAGTTTTTCATCAGAAATGGTCTCCTGAACAATTTGAAAATGTGGCTTTTTTAATTGTCCAAAGCCTTTCATATACTATGTAATATGTGTAGTATGTATAGATTTAAGTTATATGTACAGTCAATGCAAGCGGCGAACCTAAAATACGATACTTAATGATAAAAATAACGATATGCATTAATACTGTTAAATATTTGTTTAAAAAGGAGGCAACAAACAAATACAGATTCTGTTGATATGAATAATGGTAATTATAAGAATTTAATCATGAAAGAACATGGAAATTATTTAATTTTCTGTTATGAAAAAACTCAAGAAATGCACTATATATTTGATATATGCTATAATTATATATTAATATATGCTAATATATTAGAAAACTACAAAAAAAAATTTTTAATCACAGTTTGTTACTTCACTCATAAATATTCGATAATTATTTTTGCGAATGTGCAAATTTTCAGCTTCTTTTTTTTCTTCTACAAATGTCTTGTAGCAGACGATAAAAGAATAATGATTTGCATTATTATAGTTCTATGCGTGATGACGCGGTATTTAAGTGACTGTTAGTCTTGATTGTCAGCCTAAGTGATTGTCTTTAATAAAACATTTTATTCTTGTGGTAGTACTAAGAACTACTGAATCACATTGCTACACTTTTATTCTTCTTATAATAGATGACTAGGCTATGAATAGTGATTGCATAGGTTCTAACCATGGATTCTTGATCACCCATAATCATAATCCATGGTTGGTTTACTCCTCATCCATCTAAAAAATCCCTGAAAAACGTTTTTAGAACATGGGAGTAAATGTAAGTATTGATTTACATTTGATTATTATAAGCAAGAATTTTATATTCTAATTAAGTGCGTATATTAAACGTGAATTATTTTTAATTTTAAAAAGTGGCTAAATTCAGCAATAAAAAGTGTTATTTGATAAAACCATTAGAAACAGATTCTTGTATCAACCCGCTTCGATAATTTGTTATACATCTAATTTATAGATCATCATTAAAATTAATTTTAAGGAAAATTTTAATAATATTAAATATTTTAGTTGAATACAATAGATTAAGATTTTTAATTTTGTGATTTATTTAATTAATGCATGTGTTTGTTCATAAAATTTTTTTTACATTACACTTTGAGGTCTACACAATATGTAATTTAAGTTTTTAGCATTTTTTTAGGTGCTATTTATTTATATAAATGAATGCATTAATAGCATTTTAGAGACAGTTTTTATGATATTGCATAGAAATAACAAAATGAATAAATAAAATACAATTCTTATGGTAATTACATTTTTTTGAGTTTATCAACAAGAAGGTATTTTTAGCAACAAGTTAACAATTTTCACCAACAAGAAGGTACCAGACTCTCAATAACTTTTTATGCCAACCTTAATTAAACCATCAGATTTCAGACTTTTACGTAACATAAAAGAATTTATTTTTATTTCGCCAAAACAATTAGTTTTGCTTCTATCTCAAAACAAGCTAAGGATTTAAAAAAAAAAAAAAAACTATTTAAAAATTTGCATAATACCACTTCAATAATACAATTCCAATTCACTAGTATATAAAAAGTGTTAACTATGCTCTGTCTTGGGGTACCTTTAGATAGAAAGAAGGTTGACATCGTCGGCATTCTAGTACCCATATTGGTGACCCGGACGTGATCTGTGCACATCTATCTTGACAGTAACGCCCACTTCGATGGAAGGTACAACAGTTGACTTGCTATTTGCGACTGCGACATTGTTGCTTCTCAGTTTTAATCACATATCACGAAGCCTGTCCACACTCGACTGCTAATAGCAACACAGCAGCGACCACGCACGCAACCGTGATCTTAATACAGCTCTCCCGATCTTTCTCAAAAAAGGCAATTAATCAACTAGTGATATCCATTCATCGAATTCTATCCCGCATAAAATTATAGTCAGGAAGTAATGCAGTGTAACTACTACTACAATAATAGAATTTCGATACACTAGTATATAAGACGCGTTAACTCGATTCTACCTTGGGGTACTTTTTGATTACATGAAGGTTTGACACCGTCACCATTCTAGCTCCCCACAGTTCTTAACTAGAAATATAACTCAAGGGAATAGACTTTGCGATTATAGTTGTAAAAGTCAATATTATGTCTAATGCACCGTCTACTCTCTAAGTAAATTAACTTAATAATAATAATAATTTGAAACTGAGCTATGAGCTTTAAAAAAATGTTTCTCAAAAAATTTAGACCAATCCCCCACTTTATTAAAATTAATTTGCTTTTGAAGTTTCAATGCTAGTTTAATATATAATACATTCATAATTCAACTAACTAATATATATGACAACTAACATCTAATATATATGACATAACAACTAACTAATATAACTAACTACTAAATGTTTCCAAATTTGGCCTCCGAGTACCCTAAAAGAAGCTAGATTTGATTAAGGCTGAACTAGATCAGCAACTAGCGTCGGTCCAATAGATAAAAAAATTAAAAAAAAGTCACCTTAACAGAGTGTAGATCTCTTTTTTCTCTAGCTTCTGTATATATTGATGGATGTACAACAGCATGGCCGTAAAACTGACTACGAGGATCTGAAATGAAAATGAAAGCAGTTAAAATCTCAGAATCTTAAGATGAGAAAAGTTAAATATTATTACAATCTATTTACATGTATAACCAGATGTTTTAAATGGCGATGTTGAAGACTTACATGGCGCCATATATGACTTGACACACATACGTCACAGCTCGTTTTACAGGGAGGACATATTCACACACCATCCATCCGCAGATCATAATTTTGACCTAACCCAGAGCACGATTAATCTCCAATCCAGCACCCCTAAAGGTATTGATTTGTTATTTGAACTTGGAGAAATTTATGGTCCCGACAGATTTAGCGTGCACCTGTCTCCATTTTGTGCACGGGGAGTCTTCGGCCGACGGGGATCGAACTCACGACCTCTTGGACATAGACCCAACCACCTACCAACTAGGCTTTACTGACACTAAGGGAATTTAAGTCTTGTGTAAACTTTGTTCATACCCCACCCCATTAGCAAAAATAAGCAAATGATAAACTTCTCTGGTCTTTCAGTTGCTTATGTAGTACTCGACAACTCCTTTATTATTATTTAATTAATCTACAAATATTATTTATTATAATTAAATGATCTTTGCACAATGGAACTCGGAATAATTCTTCACTCACACTAAATTTAAAAAAAAGTCCTAGATGATAAATTCGGAAATCTTTTGAGTAATTTCTTCAATAAGGTGCCAACAAGTTTTAGAATACAGCACTTATTTACATTGTTTTCAATTCGTTAATGATTTATATTTGTAAAACTTAAGCTATACTGTACTGGAAAAACTGACAAGTTTTATTTAGTTTAAATACCTAAAAAAAGTCCTGTTTTTTTTAAACATCGATAAATTATTAAACACAGTTATTTTTTTTAAAAATTTTCTTGAAGTTTTTAGGGGGGAAAAAAAAAGCACAAGGAAAAAATGATAATGGCAGAAGTGTTATTTAAATAACCCATTTTCATTTGACAGTTCTTGACTGCTTACTTTAAATAGTGTAATGGCATACTTTCCAATACTGTTTTCCCAATAATAATAATAATAATAATTTAAAATATTAACAATAAACAACCTTACGGAATGGAAATATAAAAGCATGACCAAAGTTTTTGGAATTATTTAAAAAAAAAAAAAAGGGATATTTGTTCAGTTGTTTTCTTTTCAAATAAGTCGAAACATCTAATTTATTTTAGTTGAAGAAAACATCCATATCAATATCGTTGATCAGAAAATGTGTTACATAAAATCTTTTAACTTCTTACAAAAATGTTTACCCTTTTATAGATGACATTCAATCGGATCTTGGATCGGAATCGGATTCAATTTACTTTTCATTAGCTTGAGTTTCTTATCGTTTATCATTCATAAAAATCATCTGGGAAAACAACTTTGGTCATGTTTTTATAACCAAATTTAACACAGTTTTAATTCAGTGTAAATAAATGAAACAAACTAACTAATAAAGCTATTCAATATTAAAAAAAAAAAATTGCCGTTAAATTTTTCAGGTTTACGTAGAACACGACCAATCCATTTCCGTTTATTTAATTTTCAGATCAATTGGTTTCTGTTTTTCTGCATTGCAAATTTTCTGGAACCTACGCAAGTATTCTTCTTAAACAGTTTCCGTATTTTTATTAATTAATTCTCAATTATTTTAGTACCTTACAGCTGTCTATTGTAGAAGGTATATATTTTTATAACATTAAGAATCAAGTTCAGAAAATACAGATTAAGTTCTCATTTGCTTAATCGATTGTATCAAAAACAGGAAAATGTTAGAAGTAGAAACGCCTCACTGTTTGTATATACAGTTAGGGTCAATGCAGTTTTCAAACAACACTGTTTTTTTCTTCTTCTTATTGCTTGAGATTTTTTTAACGGATCTTGAATATTTTAATGTCGTTGATTTCAATTCTGCTTCTCTCTTCAAACTACAACTTTTTTTTAAAAAATGACACTTTTAGTCTATTTTTTTTTTATCGAAATGGTCAAGTTTAAAAACGTCATTTATAACAAGGGATCGCGTAAATGTTGACTTGGGACAAGCATGCTTCTGAACATGCCATACCTCTTTCAGCGTACGGCATGGCATTTCCAGGTACGGGTTCTTATGCAATTTTAATCCCGATGATGTGCTCCTCTAGAATTTTGTCACAATGCGCCTAGAAGTTTGCAGCAACATTTATGATACTCCCTGACATACATAATCTTTTAAAACTTGTACATTCCATCAAAAAATTGACTAAAAATATCATTTAAAAAAAAATTTTAAACTTTAGAAACAAATCTAATTTCAGATTTGATATCTCCACACCCGAATTATGTAAGATCAAGTATTTGTATAAACGCATCCAAAAATTGTCTCCCAAGTGTAATCTTTTCAATATTTATTGCTATCAAGCTTAAAAATATTTTTAAATTTAGTTTTCAATTTTTTTTTTTTTTAAAAAAAGGGGAGGAGTAAATATTCGATACTCTGAAAGTAAAAAGTTTAGTCGCAGCTAACCTGGATTGCAACATTAAAATGCAGATTATTAAAACGTCTCGAGAAAAAAAATTTCACTTTTAACAATTAGCTTGTTTGTAAAAAAAAATATGGGCGAGCTGAAATAAGAGAGGAAAAAATATGACTTTAAAAAAGGTTATCACTATTTCAAGAGAGTGGTTGGTAAAAATTGTATCTGTAATTCTTCAAGCGCAGCTGAGGGGGGAAAAATTTGAAAGAACAATGAGGGAATTGTAGATAGACAACCTCTTCAATATTAGAGCTTCCTTTTTAACAAAACTGTCAGAGTTGCATAACATAGTATCCCATTCGATAATATACTGTTCTTTATATTAGTAAAAAATCATCATGATAGTGCATAGCATTGCTTTTAAATTTCTTTTACGTTTAAAAGCAAACAGTTTCAGAAATCAAAGAAAATTAGGCCTAAATTTCTAGATTAAGTATAAAACAAATGTTAGAAGAGACGGATTTCATGTACGTTGTGTTGCTTTGTATACTTTTGATGAGGGTATCATTAGATAGTATTATGCGTTTAAAAAGAAATCGAAAATAAAGTCGTTGCTTAATTACTTAAGGAGAAATTACGCCTGGTAATTTTTAGAACTACGACAGAAATTTTTGAAAAGTTAAAAACAATAAAAATAAACAAAAATTTTGGATCGGTAATAAACTGCCGTTTTAATAATTTTTATAATTAATTCTTATTATAACTGATTTGGATGATCAAAAAAACTCTTAAACTCCCATTTGAACTTAAAAACTCTCATAACGTAGCAAAAACATAGATATTAGTCAAATGCTAAAAACAGACAAATGCACAATACTAACTACCTTTAAAAAAAATGCTGATTGCGGAATTGTATTGTATTATTTAAAAAAAAAAAAAAAATTCTAACTACATTTCTAACATAATGTCGGTAATATCGCTAATTTTGATTGGGTAAAGGCACCGTATTTTACAAATTTCGAAAAATACTGTCAATTACGGTAAATATCTACCACCTACTTATTTGTTAAAATTAAATTAAAATGAATAATTGCAAATTTAATATGCTCCTCCGTCTACACCCTTTGCCGGCGAGAGAAGAGGTATCATGTTGTTTCCAATGACACTTGTACAAGCAAAGCTCACCAGTCAATGGCCTGCGAATTAAGTCATGAATGCGCACTTTTCGTTTGAAAAGAATGCATCGCAAGGGCAAAACTACGTCCTGACACAGATGGCAGCATCACTCATTGGTGAGGCCACTTCCTCAATTTAGTTGTTGTAGTTGTAGTTCATTTACGTCGCACTTGAGCTGCACAATGCGTTATTGGCGACGGTCTGGGAAACATCCCTGAGGATGATCCGAAGACATGCCATCACAATTTTGATCCTCTGCAGAGGGGATGGCAGCCCCGCTTCGGTAGCCCGACGACCTGCGCGAGAAGTCGAGCACTTTTCGGTAGCACAGTTTAACGAGGACCAATACCGCACACCCTCGGTCCCTACGCAGACTGATCCAAGTGGTCACCCACCCGCACACTGACCGCAGCCAGTGATGCTTGACTTCGGTGATCTGCTGGGAACCGTGTCTCAACGATCAGTCCACTGCGGGACTCCTCAATTCAGACATAAATCTGAAGTGGAAGGAAATTTTCTCAAGATTCCTTTACTAATGGTACTGCTCAGTGATTGATCATAGGACTTTCGATTCTACAGATTTTACGAGCACGTATATTGCATGTACTCTGTCGGTGTCTGTGGAGCTGAGAATCGAACCCGGTCCCCCCGGACCTCCTGTCCGATTCTCCAGCCACTTGGCTTCAAGGGGCTTTTCAAGGAATATATGCAACAAAATCTAGTTTTTCTCAACTCATTATTTTTAAACGTTTTCAGTCTTTTATTTATTATACACAAGTTTTCTTCCAGCATCAAATACTATAATTGTCTCGAGTGTAAAAAGAATTAGACCGACGGATATTAATACTAAGAATGCCTTTCACTTATTCGTGGAATGCCCCTGAAGTCGTGGAAGAAATAAAATTACGAATATTCATTCCTCCAATTGCGAAATACACTCATTAAAAGTTTGATAGATAAAAATTGTCATTATTTATTTATCTTATACATATTTTTCTTTATTACTTCCTGATTATAGCTATTGATGCTATTTAGATTTACTTAAAATCTAATTTTATGATACAATTAATTTTATTGTAGAGTCTAGCTTCAATTAAAAATGCCTTTTTTAAACTTTATTTTTACAACTTAAGATTATGCAAGAATTAACTCATTAAGAATGATATAAAAACAAATGGAAAACTAATAACTTTTTAGTCAAATGGTTCATCGTCAAATGTAACAACGCATTGAAAAAAATAATTTTTATTGCTGTAAATAAAATTTTTATAAGCTACAGTCTTATAGTCATACACACGAATTCCATATAATATTTCTCAATATAAAAAGTCGTAAGGGTCGCCGCCGGTCGAAGCAGCTGTTTTGGATGT